TGCGAGATGCTAGGAAACTATTTCTTTGGGCTTCGCCCAAAACGAACACCATATTCACCATTTCTTCTTTAGAAAAATTCATTTTCAAACACGTTTTTATTACAATGCTGAGAAAGCTAATATTTACAGTTTGAAATTAATCAACAATTCATTTGTTTCCAAGGATGATGCGATATTTTAGGGAATCAAGACGTTCCATAAAAGACGTGCTAGTAGCCGAAAAAATAGCAGTAAAAACCCTTACGTTAGTATCAAAACAAAGCTTATAGAACAATGAATCCAAACTTATACACAAATATACAGGGTGATGCATTTGAAATTGTTGAGAAAAACTATAACATGCGTTTTTGACCACTCTGTATGAGCAAAAATTGAAATTCGAAAAAGTAATAAATAAGATAGAAGCTGAGATGTGTGAGTTTCTTTTAATTCAAAATTTAGCACTCCGAATTACAAAATGGCGGACTGATGGGATGCCGAAGTGGGGGTTTTTTTTTAGACAAAACACCTGATATCTCAGTAGCTGATTACCAAAACCCCATATAACATACTAATGTTATATCAATTTTCTTCTTTTGAATAGGTTAATCCAAATGTGCAATAAAATTTGAGGCATTCCATTTGAAAAATCACAACTTTGATATGTAGGTCAACATTGGGACACCCTGTATAATGGCCAATATTTCAGAAATGCGCCCTCAAATGTCATGTATAACATCCCATAAATAGATTTTCTCAAAATCTATTTGTTTATGAGTAATATATATATATATATATATATAACTTGAGACGTGGTCATTGTCGTCTAGACCAGTTAGGTGAAAAATTAAAGCTTCCGCCTTTTGTTGGGTACTTCGACAAAATTTAAGCAAAGAGGACTCTTTATACTTTTTTTAATTCTCTCTAGCTTTCAATGGACTTTGCCATCATCATCAGGAGCTGCAATTACAATGATAACAGTAGCAACAAAGGTGTAAAATGAATTTAAATTGACTCAACTTACAGTAGTATGTGAGGATGTTGCTAATTGTTGTTTACGTATAGGATGAGGGAAACGTCCAGTAACATGATGAGAGCGGGATAGATTGTACAATGGTCAAAATTATATAAAATATGACAAGAACAAGTTAAAAACAGATTAAAAATTATTTAAAAAATTAGAGCATTACATCGTGAAGCCACTTGATGATTGCACAAATTAGTGGTCATGGAATGATGAGTGACATGAAACCCTTTGACAGAAGGCCGAAGGATGTCAATGTCAGTGTTGAAAGATGGAACGAAATGTGGGCGTGTGCCAAACGTTGCCAAATCACTTCAGATGATGAGATTTTCAGAATTTTATGTAAGAATTTGTTAAACCGACCAGAGGCAGTTGAATAAACTATAATTTTTTATTAATGGGAATTTAAATTAACAATTATTAATAAATCGTGAGGAGAGAATTATTATATTTTGAGTGGAATGAAATTTACTGGTGGAATCGGTCAAAACACAGATTCTAATTATGGTTGTGAAGAGTTGATATTTGGGGAGATATGTAAGTTCTCCTGGAAATGTCCCACATCTTCATGAATAACAACTGTATCAACAAAAAGACAGATGTTAAACAACTGAGTGTCATTTACTCATATTTGCTAAACTGCGAAAAATTGGAGAACTTACATATCTCCCCAAATATCAACTCTTCACAACCATAATTAGAATCTGTGTTTTGACCGATTCCACCAGTAAATTTCATTCCACTCAAAATATAATAATTCTCTCCTCACGATTTATTAATAATTGTTAATTTAAATTCCCATTAATAAAAAATTATAGTTTATTCAACTGCCTCTGGTCGGTTTAACAAATTCTTACATAAAATTCTGAAAATCTCATCATCTGAAGTGATTTGGCAACGTTTGGCACACGCCCACATTTCGTTCCATCTTTCAACACTGACATTGACATCCTTCGGCCTTCTGTCAAAGGGTTTCATGTCACTCATCATTCCATGACCACTAATTTGTGCAATCATCAAGTGGCTTCACGATGTAATGCTCTAATTTTTTAAATAATTTTTAATCTGTTTTTAACTTGTTCTTGTCATATTTTATATAATTTTGACCATTGTACAATCTATCCCGCTCTCATCATGTTACTGGACGTTTCCCTCATCCTATACGTAAACAACAATTAGCAACATCCTCACATAGTACTGTAAGTTGAGTCAATTTAAATTCATTTTACACCTTTGTTGCTACTGTTATCATTGTAATTGCAGCTCCTGATGATGATGGCAAAGTCCATTGAAAGCTAGAGAGAATTAAAAAAAGTATAAAGAGTCCTCTTTGCTTAAATTTTGTCGAAGTACCCAACAAAAGGCGGAAGCTTTAATTTTTCACCTATATATATATATATATATATAGAGAGAGAGAGAGAGAAAATGATGATGCGGACCTGTATTTCTTAACTATTCCAGTAAACCGGAAGGTATTAAAAAATGGCATACACTGCTAGTAGAGTTGAAACTCAACCAGCAAATGTATCTTTTTGCTATACATAATTATATCAGAAACCGCTAAAGGCCAAATAAGTTCAGCTTTGAGCTGTTGCACATCCCTGCACGAAAGTTTTGATTGATGGCCATAGCTAAACGTTAGATTGATCTTTTGATGGTTCATATTCGATCACCTTAGCACCTCAAAAGGTATACACTTCCCAAATTATTTGCTCTCTAACCTGAGCGCAATCTCGTATATTGTATTGTAGGTAAGGACACTTTTGACTAAGTTACCTTTCAAGCCATAAGACAAAAAACTCAAAACACCATCCAGAAGCTGATTCAACAATGTATTGAGGATCCATGATTTCTTATACACTCATTGACACGCGTGGGCATCGTGCTGATAAGTTGATGGATATCCTGTTGGGGTTTCTCATTCCAGGCTACTGCAACTTCGTGAGTAAGAGGTGCTAAAGTCTGTGGAGGGTATTGCAAGTTCAAGAGCCTGCGACCTATCATGTCTCAGACATGTTCAATTGGTCAGACGATCGGGGTGGCTATGTGCACATTGGGTGCTACCTCACACAGCTGAACATCGGCGTAACCGTTTGCTCTGGTGTAGAGAAATAATTCTGCGGGGACCGGCAATGGAAGCAGATGGTCTTTAGTGACGAATCCGGCTTCTATCTGGGGATACACGATGATCGGGCAAGAGTGAGAAGGCGACGTGGTGAAAGACGTGACCCACAATTTGACAGAGAGCGTCACGACCACCACACCGTGGCAGTTATGATATAGGGTGCTATTGCTTATGGTAGCAGATCACCACTAATTTTCATCAGAGATAAGATGACAGCCCGACGCCGTATTCAGGAAGTAGTGGAGCCTCATCATATTCCATAAGTAAACACAATCCAAAACCCGATTTTTCAGCAGGACAGTGCCAGACTGCATGTTGCCACACCATCTTTAGCCTTCAGGGATCAACATCGCATCAACCGTTCATTTTAGCCACCCCGATCGCCTGACCTATCTCTAATTGAACATGTCTGGGACATGAAGGTCGCAGGCTCTTGAACTCGCAACACCCTCCACACACTTTAGCACCTCTTACTCAACAGGATATCGATCACCATATCAGCACGATGCCCAGGCGTGTCAATGAGTGTATAAGAAATCATGGATCCAGAACACATTGTTGAATCAGCTTCTGCAGTCAGCTGACGAATCAAGCTGAAAATTTAATCATTTTACTAGTAAGAGACACTGAACATATATGCCAAAACTTATTAAAATCGGATGAACATACGTAGGTATTTACATTTTTTTGTCACTCAGTATATAAACGTAGCAATGAAAATATCGCAACGTCATTCTATCTTTAGTATTGCTACACAATACTAGAATTGCAGATAATTTAACCACCTTTATCTCCATGTGTAACCCTCAGCCAGAAAAGAGATATATTATTAGATTAACATACACAACAAATGGTATATGGTTGGCTGTCTGTGGTCGGAGGGACGAAAGCAGCATGTTTAAGAGATAGATGGCATTTTGCGTTTTTTGTGTTATGGCTTGAAAGGTAACTTAGTCAAAAGTGTCGTTACCTACAATACAATATACGAGATTGCGCTCAGGTTAGAGAGCAAATAATTTGGGAAGTGTCTTATACTTTTTGAGGTGCTAAGGTGATCGAATATGAAGCATTAAAAGATCAATCTAACTTTTAGCTATGGCTATCAATAAAAACTTTGGTGCAGCTCAAAGCTGAACTTATTTGGCCTTTAGCGGTTTCTGATATAATCATAGCAAAAAGATACATTTGCTGGTTGAGTTTCAATTCTACTAGCAGTAAATGCAATTTTTTAATACCTTCCCGTTTACTGGAATATTTAAGAAATACATGTGCCATAATCAATATTAGTTGAGAAAATAATATATAAAATGTTTCGGAATATACGGTTCAGTTGTAAAACTGTCATGATGAAGTTTTTCTTTGAGCGCATACCACGCGCAGCACTACCATTAGCTGTCTATATTTCTTTTTTCTCAAAGCTAGGAGATATAGGAGCTCTCTATAGCGTAATCCAGTTTGCAATCCCTACCAAAATCCTGCGCCTCTCACTACTGGGACCTCAATCAGATGACATTAGCCGTATAGGTGATGCAACGAGCTTATTTGACAAAATTGTCAGTAGTGTGCCTTATATGTTCAATCATATTAAGACTTTTGTCAAGCCTCACACCCAAATTCTTGCTTGCATTTTGGTTCCGAATCTCGGAATTATCAACCTTTTCTATATTCCATATATATTCCAACTACCACGAAGGCTTAAGGGCTAAACACCCATAGGGTACCGTGGGGCTATAGGGGGATACAGGGGAAAGGGGGAACGCCACACGGACTCTGGCGAGGGAATACGTGTGCATGCAACATGCACATATTCTGGCTCCGCCTACGAGATCCGCCGGGTGTTACCTCTGCGTTCGACAGTCAGAGACCACCTACCTTAACAACTAATGAAGTCAGCTTCTGAATGCCAGAAAGTATGACTACTTCCGTCTTCTCAGGAGCCAATTTCAAGCCATTTTTGTCCATCCATATGGTAATTCTCGTGATTCCGTATGCCAAGAGTCTACTAGCATCGCAAGGTCGTCAGCATACCCTATCATGCGAATTTTCGGCAGCATCTGTAACCGAAAAACCCCATCATAAAGCACGTTCCACTGCACCGGCCCTAGGACGGAGCCTTGCGGCATTTCCATGGTTTCCTTCATCGTTTTTTACCCTACTATCAGAGTCTTCACATCAAAGTAGCTTTTTATCACGTTCAATAGATAGCTGGGGGCGTCTAGCTTCTCGAAAGACTCGATTATTTTCAGCCATATGCCGTGTTAAAAGCAACCATAACGCAAAGCTTCTTACTACTGTTGCTGCCGCTATCTGCTATTTCCACCAGCGGTGCCACAGCAGTAAGTGCCCTTCAGTCGTTCTAGTAGCTTACTAAGTGAAGTCAGCATCCACAGAGGTCTATATTTGACTTCTCTATCGGTGGGTTTCGGATGTTTAGGCTCCCTTCACCTCTTCGGAAAGATTCCCGCACGGGTATCACGTATCTTAAAAAGTGATATTATTGCCGATTTTTTTTGACATTATGTAGGTTTTTCTACAAGATATTAACTTAGCACTTAGTTGTACGTGTTGTCTAAACGTCATGAGGCTTTAGTTATCAGTGTTTGGCTCTGATGTTATGTAAAATCTGCTGCAGAGATAGCATTACTGGGGGTCTAAGCTGTAAGTTCTATGTGTTGATGATAATTCCATTGGATTCTAGTCTCAAATACACTTAATCGAGATTCAAAGCTAGAAATTAGTTGTACAGACACTTTTTCTTATACATTCTGGAAATTACATATACAAATTTGCTGAATTTCAAAAATGAGAGAGATCAGAAATAATTATATTCACTGTACACTGTCAAAGTACAAGCCATATACATGCTCTCAGTAACTACACACAACGCGGGCGCGGTGATGATTTCCCGTAATTCTCCTCAGATTTTCGTAATTTATAACTTTGAACATAACCTCTATTCAGAAAGCACAACATATAAATTGCCCATCATATTCAGCATATTAAGTGATGATTTTCTCACACAGCAAATATCACTGATTTTATACACATGCAGACCAATACACATAATCATCCAGATACGATCTTGCTATTCAACCAACTTTCTTCTCAGAGATAAAAACTGCAGACACAGATAAATCAGCCTCACAAAACTATGCAATCAATAATGCGTGTAGTTTAGTTGAGTGATTCTTACATAGATGGACGTTCACAACGATCCTAGTGAGCAAACGTAGAATGACTGTTTGCGCCCTAAAAACTTCCTAGTCTGCAAGTTGACATCTGATAGGTTTTCTTGACGTTTTATAGGTTTTTACATGATACCCGTGTCTTTCTCAAGCATTCATTCATCACAGATAGCACGATTGCGCGTATCTCTTTAACCAGCGCTTTCACGATCTCATTTTGTATTTCATCTAGTCCGTTGCCTTATCTGTTTTCAAGTGCGATGCAGCTTCTTCCAGCTCACTCATGGTGAGCTCTGGCTCGCCCAGAGTTTCCTCAAATTTCCGTTCGGTATGTGAGTTCTTCGGAAACAATCCATCTGCAATTTTTATTTGATGTTCAGTATCCAGGTACGGAGTCATTTTTGCATTCGAGCATCAAAATGTTATTCCTTGTTCCATTTACTCTATGGTACTTTCTATTTTCTCTAGTTATTCTGCGTCTGATAGTTAAGCATTCTTTCGTTTTTTGTGCTGTACCATCATTCCACCAATACTTTGCTTCCCTTGCTTAACCATTTTTGTGGACCACGCCGAAGATGTTGTTACATGCCGTTATCTCTACATCCTTGAACAGTTGAACTTTGCCCTCGTAATCATCAAGCTTTGTGATCCATAGGGCTAAGTGCAGATTTCCAGGGAATGCTTTTAATTTAACTCCATTTATCTTCCACCTGCAGATCCTATGTGTATGTAGTCTTTCATGTTTGATAGTTATTATTTCAAACATAATATACTCATGGTCGCTCAGATTTTCATAATTCAGTACATTCCACTTCTTGATTTTACCAATCACGTTCTCACTATGGAAAGTAAAGTCGATGTAGGATGTTTGGCTTCCTCTGACAAAGGCTGGCTAGCCACCATTGTCTGCGATGACAAGGCTTCTTGTTGCGAGAATTTCTTCAAGGAGCTATTCTCGTCTGTCAGTAATCCGGGATCTTCAAGTTGTTGACTTGAATTGAAATCTCCCCCAATCAAGTACTCCTTTATTCTGTGGTCCATAAGGGTTTCCAATTCATTTAGTCTTTCTGAAATTTGTAGGATTCAATCTTTAATGACCTTTACCTAGATGGAGAAAAACTACTCCCTATGAACACTCGCTGACTCACTAATCTTCTGAGAGGTCGTGCCTTTTTTTTTTAATTTCCATTTAGGTATTTTTAACCTTTTAGATGAATAAAGTCTTAAAAGCCAGAGTTATATGCAACACAACTCATCGTTAAAAATTGTAATATATGAAAAATATGTTTATACTGTATTGGTAGAAATACGTGTTGTATACTTAACCCCACAACCCGTAGTTCCCAAAATCGCGTGCTAACGCAACAACTTGATTATTGGCTATTCCATGCCAATTAATTACCTTATCAAGATACTTTAGACACGCACTGAGATCGACGCCACGTAAGGTTGACACCAGCATGTTTACAGTTAGAGCAAATCCGGAATCAGGCTTCTGTCACGTCATGTGATCCCATGTGACATTTTAACAGGAAAATTTTATCGTTTTGTGTAATTCTTCTTAAAACATTTCCTTTCAAGACCTTTTGCGGGAAATGATAGGGTATGGCAGAAGACGCTGGGTGCAGAACGTGCATGGAGAGAGACGAAATGGTTAAGTATGTTTTGTGCAGATGCCATGCAATTCCCAGAGTCAGGCACAATATACTTGCGGGTAGTACTTCAAGTAAAAGACCTGAAGGATATTTCTCCAAATAAGAAGCTCGACTGCCTCAGGAGGTCGGACTTACTGGAAGAAATATAAGTTGGTGCTAGCCGAAATAGATCAGGAAATCGCAGTGAAGGATTGTAATTGATCCGCTCACAAAAAACCTAACCTACTGATGATATCTTAAATGCAAGACTACTACTAATATTAACCGAGCAATTACAGGTCAGTTAAACTCGCTACTAGGCACGAAAGATATACAAAATGATATAAAAAATTACTTATTTGCAACATTAATGGACAGTACAATCATATATGGCTCGGAAATTTGGACATTGACCATAAACACGTAAATCCGTATAAATGCAGTGGAAAGTGGTTTTTGAAGAAGATACTGTATATATATATATATATTCGTTGCCTAGCTAGCGGTGCAGCGCTTTTATGCTGAATAGCAATAGCAGTGGGATATCTTTGACAGTGCGCAGCATTAATCAACATACTATCAAATCTGACAGCCAGGAGGAAACAGTTGTCAACTGACAAAGTTGTTCCCATGACTAAAAGCGCAGACTAATAACCCTGCCGCTTTACATTAATGTCCCAATATCTTTACTTTTTTTGTATAGTTGCAAAAAAGAATATAATACCAAACATTGTTTTATATATGACCTGGCAACAGTGCCTTTTAATATAGTTGAGGAAGCACAGATGCAAATTTATCACAAGGCTACGCAAAGGGAGATGCGGGAAATGCGGAAAATACATTAAATGGAAAAAGTACGCCGCGGTTGTGAAATACGATTTTTTCCTGTTGGTAAATCGGAAACGTGATTAATGTATGTCAGTTGGAATAGCCTTCCATGCGAACATTTACACGTTTAAGGGTACATGTTTGTCGAAAGAATTTTAAATCGAACACAGCGGGCCATTCTTTTGCTTACAGTGAGTCTGTCACTTGGACACCTCATACAAGGATAGTGTTATTGAAAATCTAAGCGGGCAATAAAATACTATGATTGCAACATTTTGTATAATTATGGCAACTATAGCAAAGCTATCATGAACATATTGCAACATATGTCCCGGCTATATCAGCTATATCTCAGATATGCAATATCGTCTGCAATTCATAGACACACATACAGATGGACTACAAGATAAGGCAAGAATGACATTGTAGGCGTCGTGGCAGCTAGCATGAATTACATTAAAGGATCCATAGACACTTATATAATTAGTACGATTTGCTTGTCTGCAAATGGTACGACTCTCCTGTCGACCAAGTAGTATTGAAGGTTTTGTCATCAAGTAAAACGGAAGTCACATTTCGCTCAACCTTGCAGCTTAAGAAATCGAAGATTGATGATGATTTCTTTGTATGGAGTGAGAATTCTCAACAGTTCGCTTTATGTTTAGCCACTCATCCGTAACTAATTGAAATAATGATCAGGTTCCAACCTTAACTCATCCAACATTATGATATGCGAGACCTCCGACCTCATTAAAATACATTTCTTTGATCACTTGGCTCGACTTCGTTGTTTCTTTTTTATAATTAATGCGCCAGCTGTAGCTGCTAATAAATTATCTTTCATCTTCGATTTCAAAAAGTGCAAGATAAAACTGTATCTGTGGACATCTAGACATATGGTATTGCCCCTTGCCTGATGACAAACCGTTGGATACCACATACAGTACGTCTTGCATGACGACTTAGTTGACAAGCAAATCGGACGATTTGTATGAGTTTCTATGGGGTCTACTACATTAAATGAAATACAGATAGTCAGATATAGTGTATAAAAATAGATCAGAAATGTCACATGTGTAGCAATATAGCCAATCCAGACTAAACAGATTTCTATATTGCTGGCCACTCGATTACAGCTATAATCATGCAGCAAAAGTATTGCCCGATTAAAGGCTCCATTACTCAAATTATAGAGAACGTCACAACAAATAAAAATAATTCCTTAATTTTTTATAAGATGTGTGTGCGTCCTAATACTTAGTAAAAAATATGCATATTCGAGATGCTAAAAATCAATTTTTGTTACCTAGGTACACTTAAGTTCTTCGTATTCTTGAGATACAGAAAAGGTGAGAAATGCCTTTTACCAAATTTCCTCCGTCTTGACGTTTAATTTACTCCTTCGAATT